GAGAATTTAGTGATCTAATCGTCTGAAATTTGGGTGCTTTTAATCACCCTTACGACATGTTACTTGCATTCAAATCAGGACACCACCGAAAGTGATAGAGATGCGAAAGTTCAATAGCACCGTGTAAACGCTGCACGGAACAATAAATAATATAAAACCAAGTACCAACAATCCAAACCATTAGATAAAATTTGAAGTCCTAAAAAAATTATCGTACTAAATAGTGTACTGGTAATCAGCAAATATGGACTATTTTAAAGTAGCTAAGCCTCTAACTCAATATCATCCAAAACCATCGACAATGAAAACACGAATTATTTGTCAATTTTAATCAACATTGGTGTTGTGATCTTACCGGGAAAAGATGGGCTTCTGATATCCAATATTTAAGACAAAAAAATCATTTTACGATTGGTACACGAATTGTGTACCATAATGCGTTTCAGCGCAATTTGTAACAAGCGACTCGGAAGAACGCGGTTAGACATATTCCACAAGTCATGTCAAACGGTGACCCCATATTCTTCTCTGGAGAGCATGCGCAACAATACTATCGGTGTAGACTGGAATAACCAGACGCTAGAGATTGCCATTCGATTGAGACGTCTGGTGTATTTCGCCGAACATAACTGCTTTGAAATTTGAGTAAAAACGGAAACGATTGAATGTAAATCAGTTTTTTTACATTCATATTACATTATTATATACGTTGCGACCCATTTGTGTCAATTTGTAGGTCCCAAACGGCCAAATATTAAAGTACCGGTAGCTAAGTCTCTAACTCAATATCATCAAAAATCTTCGACATTGAAAACACGAATTATTTGTCAATTCAAATCATCATTGGTCTTGTGATCTTACAGGGAAAAGATGGGCTTCTGATATCCAGTATTCAAGACAAAATAAACATTTTTTACCATTGGTACAGAAATCGTGTACCATACATAATGTGTTTCAGCGCCATTATGGAGAGCATATGCAATAAATACCAGTGTAGACTGGAAAAACCAGACGCTAAAGATTGAGACTTCTGGCGTATTTCGCCGAACATAACTGGTTAGAAATTACAGTAAAAACAGAATCGATTGAATGTAAATCAGTTTATACATTCATATTACATTAAAGGAGCTAAATCGCTAACATTTGGGACCTAGAAATTGACAAAAGTGGGTCACAAAGCATATAATACTGTAATATGAATGTATATTTATAAACTGATTTACATTCAATGGTTTCCATTTTTACTCCAATTTCAAATCAGTTATGTTCGGCGAAATAAGCCAGCAGTCTCAAGCGAGTGCAAATTTCTAGCGTCTGGTTATTCCAGTCTACATACGCTGTTTGATTTGGTGCAATGTGTCTAGCCTCGTCCCTCAAGTCTCTTGATACAACTGGGGTTGAAGCGCATTATGGTACACGATTCGTGTACCAATGGTAAAATGTTTATTTTGTCTTAAATATTGGATATCAGAAGCCCATCTTTTCCGGGTAAGATCACACACCAAATTTCAGCCAAATCGATAAATAACTTTTTATTTTACCGACCTTTTAATTTCTAACGAGAGAGAACTTCATCCGTTTGACGCCATTTGCTTTGTTTACTAATGAGACTTGAATAACAAGACACTAAGACGGAAACCGACTCGAATAACAAGACACTTAGACGGAAACCGACACACTGCACTAGCTGCCTAACACTGCAGTTCATAAAAATTAATATAATTTTCGTATTCTTTAATTTTTGCGCGAAGCCACCATTTTCTATAAAATACTATTTGGTGTTGATTAGTGGATTGGCCTTTAGGTGTAAATATTGCCGTGACCTTGATTTTGACCTTGAGGCCAAACTTCCCATCCATATCGGGGCCTTTGCGTTTATGCTTGCCGTAGCCTTATTTCTTACTGTATTATCAAAGTTAATGTTCGAGGTGAAAGCAGAGATGACGTCCTTCAGAAAAGATAATTGGGTCAAAGTCGTAGGTCAAGGTCATGTTACAGAAAACTAAACTCAAACTTTTCAAAGTCATTTTTGGGACATTTGACCTTGACCCCGTAACCATTTTCGAAGGCTATCACATTGGCTTGAATCATGAACGTTTAACTTGGTCCTGTCGCACACTGCTCGGTCAGAAAACGGTCAAACGCAGAGGGTCCGTGTCCGAAAGGAAGTCAATGGGCGTGGTCAATGTGAAAGGTCGTGGTGACATCCACTAGTCACCGTTAACCATCCGTAACCTTGACTCTGACCTTGAGTCCAAACGTCCCATCCATCTCGGGCCCTTTGCGTTTATGCTTGCCGTGGCCTTATTTCTAACTGTATTATCAAAGTTAATGTTCGAGGTGAAAGCAGAGACGACGTCCACCAGAAAAGATAATTGGGTCAAAGTCGTAGGTCAAGGTCATCTTACAGAAAACTAAACTCGGACTTTTCAAAGTCAGTTTTGGGACATTTGACCTTGACTTAAGACCTTGACCTCGTAACCATTTTCGAAGGCTATCACCTTGGCTTGAACCATCGACGTTTACTTTGGTCCTGTCGCACACTGTTTGGTCAGAAAAGGGTCAAACGCAAAGGGCCCGTGTCCGAAAGGAAGTCAATGGGCGTGGTCAATGTGAAAGGTCGTGGTGACCTCCACTAGTCACCTTTAATCATCCGTGACCTTGACTTTGACCTTGAGTCCAAACTTCCCATCCATCTCGGGCCCTTTTCGTTTATGCTTGCCGTGACCCTATTTCTTACTGTATTATCAAAGTTAATGCTTGAGGTGAAAGCAGAGACAACGTCCTTCAGAAAAGTTTAAAAGGTCAAAGTCGTTGGTCAAGGTCATGTTACAGAAAACTAAACTCAAACGTTTCAAAGTCAGTTTTGGGACATTTGACCTTGACTTACAACCTTGACCCCGTAACCATTTTCGAAGGCTATCAACTTGGCTTGAATCATGGGCGTTTACCTTGGTCCTGTCGCACACTGCTCGGTCAGAAAACGGTCAAACGCAGAGGGGCCTGTGCCCGAAAGGAAGTCAATGGGCGTGGTCAATGTGAAAGTTCGTGGTGACCTCCACTAGTCACCTTTTACCATCCGTGACCTCGACTTCGACCTTGAGTCCAAACTTCCCATCCATCTCGGGCCCTTTTCGTTTATGCTTGCCGTAACCCTATTTCTTACTGTATTATCAAAGTTAATGCTTGAGGTGAAAGCAGAGACAACGTCCTTCAGAAAAGATAAATGAGTCAAAGTCGTAGGTCAAGGTCATGTTACAGAAAACTGAACTCAAACTTTTCAAAGTCAGTTTTGGGACATTTGACCTTGACTTACGACCTTGATCCCATAACCATTTTCAAAGCCCATAATCTTGGCTTGAACCATCGACGTTTACCCTGGCCCTGTCGCACACTGCTCGGTCAGAAAACGGTCAAACGCAGAGGGGCCCGTGTCAGAAAGGAAGTCAAAGGGCGTGGTCAATGTGAAAGTTCGTGGTGACCTCCACTAGTCACCTTTAACCATCCGTGACCTTGACTTCGACCTTGAGTCCAAACTTCCCATCAATCTCGGGCCCTTTTCGTTTATGCTTGCCGTGACCCTATTTCTTACTGTATTATCAAAGTTAATGCTTGAGGTGAAAGCAAAGACAAAGTCCCTCAGAAAAGATAATTGGGTCAAAGTCGTAGGTCAAGGTCATGTTATAGAAAACTGAACTCAAACTTTTCAAGGTCAGTTTTGGGACATTTGACCTTGACTGACGAGCTTGACCCGTAACCATTTTCAAAGCCCATCATCTTGGCTTGAACCATCGACGTTTACCCTGGCCCTGTCCCAAAAATGACTTTGAAAAGTTTGAGTTTAGTTTTCTGTAACATGACCTTGACCTACGACTTTGACCCAATTATCTTTTCTGAATGACGCCGTCTCTGCTTTCACCTCGAACATTAACTTTGATAATACAGTAAGAAATAAGGTCACGGCACGCATAAACGCAAAGGGCCCGAGATGGATGGGAAGTTCGGACACTAGGTCAGGGTCAAGGTCATGGATGGTTAACGGTGACTAGTGGAGGTCACCACGACCTTTCACATTGACTACGCCCATTGACTTCCTTTCGGACACGGGCCCCTCTCCGTTTGACCCTTTTCTGACCGAGCAGTGTGTGACAGAACCAAGGTAAACGTCCATGATTCAAGCCAAGGTGATAGCCTTCGAAAACGGTTACGGGGTCAAGGTCGTAAGTCAAGGTCAAATGTCCAAAAAATTACTTTGAAAAGTTTGAGTTTAGTTTTCTGTAACATGACCTTGACCAAAGACTTTGACCCAATTATCTTTTCTGAAGGACGTCGTCTCGGCTTTCACCTCGAACATTAACTTTGAAAATACAGTAAGAAATAAGGCCACGGCAATCATAAACGCAAAGGCCCTGATATGGATGGGAAGTTAAGACTCAAGGTCAAAATCAAGGTCACGGCAATATTCACACCTAAAGGCCAATCCACTGATCAACACCAAATAGTATTTTATAGAACATGGTGGCTTCGCGCAAAAATTAAAGTATACGAAAATTATATTAATTTTTATGAACTGCAGAGATAGGCAGCTAGTGCAGTGTGTCGGTTTCCGTCTTAGTGTCTTGTTATTCGAGTCTAAATAGTAAACAAAGCAAATGGCGTCAAACAGATGAAGTTCTCTCTCGTTAGAAATTAAAAGGTCGGTAAAATAAAAAGTTATTGATCGATTCGGCTGAAATTTGGTGTGTGGTCATTGCTAGTCCCCCTTAACATCCTCTAATAATTTCAAGTTCCTATGACCACGGGAACTGGTAGAGGTACGAAAGTGCAACTGGCATTTTTGTCAATTTATAGGTCCCAAATATTAGCGATTTAGCTCCTTTAACGATTTAGCTCCTTTAAAAGTTTAATAAGTTATAATTATTAGTTACTGCGGTTCTATTTAGACTATTTCTAATAAAAAAAACAACCTTCAATTTGTAAAGTCTCAACCTAAAACTTACCATTTTTATTATGTATAATGGATCAAGATATAACCATCTTCTTATTCTTTCAGACTCGCCTGCAATGCGTATATTTGTGTTGCAATACTACCGATAAAACGTTCAGAACATTTACTGGATGTCGAGAAATAACAACCACGCAGATGGAAAACACTACAAGATCGAAGACGGCCAATCACATTACATCGAACATAGTCTAGCACAATTACGTTAATGTTGGTGGTCCTTTAGTATACGAAAAAGGGGCAGCGTTATCATATGGCTAGCAGGGCATGAATACCAGTACTGTCCACACAAGGCTCGCCGATTAGACTGGATAACCTGCTCTAATACGTCAGACTCGCAGCCTACCATAACTTAAGGCTAACTAAACCATAGAACTGTAGGCCTATTATACTAAACCATAGATATTAAGACTAGATTGATAGGCCAAATGCATCAAACATGACGGAGTTGCAAAATACAATGCGCAAAGACGAGTGCGCATCGAGTGGGTGGCTGTATCTATTTATATCGTCTGAGGTCGCTGTTAAACATAAAAGAGCTAAATCTGATTATTGCAAATCTTTATTTAGGCTTCAGATGTCAAAGAAATTATAAATTTATTAGATCTTTATTTACACAACAAGCACAAAATCAACTCTGTAGACCTACGGATGGCTTGGATTCGGCTTGGATTTAAACAGGATTTCATTGATTGATAAAAAATTTAAATGGCGTCGTAAGCGGAGATTAACCGTTACGTTGACGTCATACTCCCGGAAATTTTAGATCGAGGCTAAATGATAGAGTGTACGAAGCGAGGCCGCTGTTGAGCGAGGCCGCATGTCAGTCAATTTGATTGAAAGTTCAATATATACGGCCTTGATATTATGTTTAGTTGTGGTTAAAATGAAAGTTTTGATGTCGGTATTATACGCCCTTTTGTCGCTTGCGTTTACAGAAAAATTATGGAAATTGATAAACATCGCAGCTAACATCACCCCAGTTGAATTGCAGCCCCATCGGATCACTGTTTCCTATTTGTCTGCTTCTGGAGTTACATAGGCCTACCACAAGAGTACACGCAGGCTAACAAGAAGTCGGCTATAATTATGCCTCATTGATTTGGTCCATTCCTTTCAAACTTTCACTTGTTATCTATATATTAAAAGTCTTATTTTTAATTTGTAGTAAAAATAAATGTGATACGAATTGAATTGCAACCCCGTCTCAAACCGAATAGGCTAACGGTACCACAGCCATTGAAAACGTTACTTGATAATCGAGATTATGTAGGTGGAGTTAACGCCTGTCAATCAAACGATCGGCCATTCTCGGAGACGGTGAAGAGAGAGTTTACTCCTATTTCTAGTCAAAAATTACAATGGTGATAACTTTGTTTAGAATAAAGTAATTTGACTGAAATTTTCAATATATTCTTCTTTCATCATCTATTTTTGAACTGTTATAGCAAGAATGGCCAACTCTCTATTAAAAGATTTATACGTAGTGCGGTGGGGACAGTGGGTTTGCGTGTACACGGTACCGGAACCGTGCTCATGGCATGCACAACTCTTATAATCTTAATTATTTATTTCGCACAAATAATCTTGTTAAATAAAATTGAAAAGAAAATATTGTGGGCCGCATTTTACGAGTTTAAAAAATCTCAGGCTGGTCAGGGATGGGGGTAGTATATGATTCATAAACAACAGAAGTCGTGTGGAATTTTGCGCAATGAAAATGATTCAGCAGATTTTAGACAACCGGTTATTTGCCAGTGGCAGTAACTTAACAAAAATCCAGCATGAAATGCGACCATTTCCACTTTTTGGTAGGCAGATTTAACGATGGCATGGGTTTACTATGGCGAAACAATGCATCGAATTACCCTCAAAAGTATTGTCAGATAAAACTTAATAGTTAATGAGCTTCCGATTTGACCAAATTTTAAAAAAAAGATTTGTTTCCAACGGCGCGCGGGGAGAGAACTTCCCCGCACCGCCTAGTGACGCTCGGTCAAGTACACTCAAAAGCATAGAAGAGAAAGTGATAAATATTAAGCACTTTCGTCTGATCAACAATTTTGCTGAGTCCACAACAAAACTTGCATCGGCTTGGTCCACTCTTTTTGGTATCCGGAGACTTATCAGTCATATTGATATAAATATAGGCTCACGTTACAGTGCAAGTCTGTGTATATTCTAAACAAGGTGCCATCTATATATATATTTGTGACTGTCGTTTGTCTGTCTGTCTGTCTGTCTGTTCGGGGTTGGCAGCTACACTAGGTCTGCCCCGAGTCTGAAATTTGGGGTATATGGGTAGCTCGGACCGGGGAGTAACATAGGCCAGGTACGTGGCGTTAGTCTACCACTTCCGGTTTCGGAGTTATGACCCCCGAGCAAAGTCTGTCTTTTCGGGGTTGGCGGCTACATCTGCCCCGAGTCTGAAATTTGGGGTATAGGGGTAGCTCGGACCGGGGAGTAACATAGGCCAGGTAGCGTTAGTCTACCACTTCCGGTTTCGGAGTTATGACCCCCGAGCGAAGTCTGTCTGTTCGGGGTTGGCGGCTACACTAGGTCTGCCCCAAGTCTGAAATTTGGGGTATAGAGGTAGCTCGGACCGGGGAGTAACATAGGCCAGGTGGCGTTAGTCTACCACTTCCGGTTTCGGAGTTATGACCCCCGAGCAAAGCCGGTCTGTTCGGGGTTGGCGGCTACACTAGGTCTGCCCCGAGTCTGAAATTTGGGGTATAGGGGTAGCTCGGACCGGGGAGTAACATAGGCCAGGTGGCGTTAGTCTACCACTTCCGGTTTCGGAGTTATGACCCCCGGGCGAAGCCGGGTATCCTGCTAGTACATTATTAAAATTACCGTTAATCATCCTGACAAACGATAGTATTATATTTTAACTTCTTTTAGCTGTAGAATAGCCAATGTTAATACATGTAGATAGTCATATTAATTATAAAATGTAAAAGAAAATAACCTATATATAGATTGGACATTTGCTTAAATGAATTTATTGATTTGATAAATACTGAATGTATGACTTGAGTTTGCAAGTAGGCACACGGTATTCATGCGACACTATATAGGCTTATTTTACGCCACAAATTTATAAGAAAAAAATTATATTTACACAATTTTATTGTCATTGACCTGTGTAAAGTGAGTAAATTATTTTGATATTGCAGATAACTTTGGTAAACTGCACTTTATCAGATATTTTCTCATTATTCCCTTATACAGGATGAAATTAAATATGGGATGGGATGTGATGGGCATTAAACATAACGGAGAGAAATCGTATATCCTTTCAAACTTCTGTTTAAAATCACTGCCCGAGGGTAAAGCAAATCACAAAATAGCCTAATATAGGTATGACATTGGCCGGGAAAGTTCATCGTAATTTTCCGGCGTGGTTTCCCCTTGTCAGTGGTGCAGGGGGGGGGGGGGGCTTTACAAGTACAGCTGTCTAGTCGTTCGGATGGGGCCAAAAACCGGGGTCCCCTGTATACACTGACGTGCACGTAAAAATGCCTTGGCAGTAGGAATTCGATGTAAGACTTAAAAGAAGAACATTGTGCCGCTACCCGGGCAAAATTCCCCTCATAACACACTGCAATATGGATGTGTCCGTCTGCATTAGCCTAGTAGGAGCAGTACAGTAGGACGTTAAACCCCATTTCATTATGATTTGGTCTGTACGGCATTCGCAGAATGGCATATACATTTGTTTTCTATTTTTGTGTTATTAATCTTGGATTTCCTGACAGGCTTAAACTTAATTAAAGTGCCTGAAACATTGTTAAATAAAAACGTTTTAAAATTTGTCGTATTTTTTCATTTATTAATTAAAGCAGCTAAGTCTCTAACTCAATATCATCCAAAATCTTCAACATTGAAAACACAAATTATTTGTCAAACTAAATCAACATTCATGTTGTGATCTTACCGGAAAAAGATGGGCTTTTGATATCCAATATTTGATATCCATAATGCGCTTCAGTCCCAGTTGTATCAAGAGACTCGAGGGACGAGGCTAGACGCATTGCACCAAATCGAACGGCGTATGTAGACTGGAATAACCAGACGCTAGAAATGTGCACTCGTTTAAGACTGTTGGCTTATTTCGCCGAACATAACTGATTTGAAATTGGAGTAAAACGGAAACCATTGAATGTAAATCAGTTTATATACATTCATACTACATTATTATATGCGTTGCGACCCACTTTTGTCAATTTCTAGGTCTCAAATGTTAGCGATTTAGCTCCTTTAAAGGAAGATGTCATTAAATGACAGGCTGGGGCTATTTGCCACATGTGGTAAGACAATCCAGAGACTATTTGCCACATATGGCAAGTCTCCGTACCGAAATTATTAACCGATTTCAATGAAACTTACAGATAACGATAACATTAATAATATCTCAGCGTAGGTAAAATTTCGACCACTTCCGGTCAGCGATTTACGAGATATCCGGTTACCACACATTTCATGTGGCACGGCTACAGACAACAATTATCAATCGATATCCATGAAACTTACAGAATATGATAACAATAATAATATCTCAGAGTAGCCAAAATTTCGACCACTTCCGGTAAGCGGTTTCTGAGATATCAGGTTACCACACATTTCATGTGGCACGACTACAGACCACAATTATCTACCGATTTCAATGAAACTTACAGAATACGATAAAATTAATAATATCTCAGAGTAGCCAAAATTTTAACCACTTCCGGTTAGCGGTTTCCGAGATATCAGGTTACCACACATTTCATGTGGCACGGCTACAGACCGCAATTACAAACCGATTTCAATGAAACTTGCAGATTATAATTACTTTAATTATATCTCAGAGTAGCCAAAATTTCAACCACTTCCGGTTAGCGGTTTCCGAGATACCAGGTTACCACACATTTCATGTGGCACGGCTACAGACCACAATTATCAACCGGAAGTGGTCGAAATTTGGCTACTCTGAGATATAATTAAAGTAATTATAATCTGCCAGTTTCATTGAAATCGGTTGATAATTGTGATCTGTAATCTGTAAGTTTCATTAAAATCGGGTAACAATTGCGGTCTGTAGTCGTAAGCCTATTTATAAGTTTTGTTCTCATGAAATACAGCCCAGGTTAGGAGCAGAACAGTAGGACGTTAAACTCCATTTCGTTTCATTTCTCATGAAATACTCCTAACAGTAAACTGCAAAGACATGTAAAATTTTAATTTTATTTCAAACACGTTTTTAAAATGTTGATTTAATCTTTACAAATATACTTTATAAATATAAATAACAGCAGGCGATACTTATAGAACAGACGATATAAATAGATACAGCCAGCCACTCAATGTGCACTCGTCTTTGCGCATTGTACTTTGCAACTCCGTCATGTTTGGTGCATTTGCGGATTGTCCTTTCTACCGGAGTTGCAACATCTAATCGACGTACTACCAACCTGTATTTCACATCAATATCTTTAGCCTAGCTACATCCTCGTCTCAGTTGAACAATTTTTGCTATCTCATTATTAGATTGAGTGTTTCCATAGACTTTCTCAGAGTGAGATAGATTGATCGTGTGAATAGACTAAGACAGGTAGGCCTATATATAAATATAATATAGATTGTCTTTGACAGATTAATTAATACGAAGGGTTTAGTTTTTGGATTATCAATAATTTATCCAGTAATTTGAGGAAGGCATTTTAGGTACTAAACTGGTGTACGCTAATATTATTAGTACCGGTATCACAGAGTAAAAATGTATTTTTACTCTGTGGTCTGTGACCGGTATAGCCAGGAGTTCTTGATCAATGCAATGGAGGTTTGATTTATTTGATGTTTTTTTTTCTGATATGAACAAACAATGCTATATTTCAACATGCAAGTTATATTATGTTACAGTGAATTACTGTTGGAATGGATTACATTGCTGTAGGACTCCGTGTAAGTAGGCCTAACTACTTTATGTTGAGTGAATGTTAAACCCAATTTCTCTCTTTCTATACCTCACTATACTGATATACTGATAATTCTGAGTGGTGGACAGATTTCTAAAGCCTAACCAAACTCTTTCTCACTGTTCACTTAAATCCCCTTACTCAATAATTTATAAAATCTTGTCAACTGACTATGAAAGTTTGTGTGAATGTAACTGGAAATGTAAAATCTTCCTGAACTTGTGTCTTTCTTATGCTAGGTTCCGACTATAACTATAACAATTCGTGCTGCGATTGAAATCTTGGTTTTAATCGTGGAGATTAAAAATACAGATCCTCTTTTGTTTCATTTTTTATAGTTCAAAATTTCGTTTTACTTGTCTTCACAAAACTAGGATCTGGAAGAGTTGTTATATAACCTGTGTTCTGGTTGATGTGAGGGATTAAATTAGCCAATGAAACGGTCTGTTACGGCCAGTTCTTGGCATGCGGTGCAAAGAACTATCGGTAAACCACTAGAAACATCAACGCTGATTGATTAATCAATGTCTGACTTCAAAGGGTCAAAAGCCGCTCGTATGACACCTGAAATGACCTTCCAATACAACCGGTGAGATCTTCATGTAGTGTACGTAGGTCATCGAAATTTTAAAAAAACGAAACTAGATATAGGTCTGTATTTTAATCACATGGCAAATTACACCATTAACTCTATTATTAATTTTAATTACTGGTGCATGACAATTATCTAGAAAGATTTTTATACGCCCACATGGAAATGTGGATGTATATTGCCGTCGGTCCGTCCATCATCCACAATTTTTTTTGAACGCTTTAATGTTTTGATTTTGATATATTTATGTTATTCTGTTATGGCCCTTGTTTCACTTTGTTGCACCTTGTGAACACTCTAACATCAAAAGTTATAAGCTTCATTTAGATTAGTAAAAAGAAGAATCCTATTAAATTTCAGCAATTTCCGTTAATTACATCTAGAGTTATGAACCTTGTTTCACTTTATTGAACCTTGTGAACGCTCTTACGCCAAAAGTTATCATCCAGTCTTTGTGAAATTTATATGCATTATTTGAATTAGTGAAATGAAGAATCCTATTGAATTTCAGTAATTTCCGTTAATTACTTCTAGAGTTATGGCCCTTGTTTCACTTTATTGCATCTTGTGAACGCTTTAACATCAAAAGTTATCTGCTGATCAGTATGAAATTTATATGCATCATTTAAATTAGTAAAAAAGAAGAATCATATTGAATTTCAGTAATTTCCGTTTGTTACTTCTAGAATTATGGCCCTTGTCTCACTCTGTTTCACCTTGTGAACACTTTAACATCAAAAGTTATCTGCCAATCTGTATGAAATTTATATGCATCATTTAAATTAGTAAAAAGAAGAATCCTATTGAATTTCAGTAATTTCCGTTAATTATTCTAGAATTATATGGCCCTTGTCTCACTTTGTTGAAGCTTGTGAACGCTCTAATGCCAAAAGTTGTCATCTGATCTGCATTAAATTTATATGCATCATTTAGATTAGTGAAACTACGAAGCCTATTGAATTTCGATGAAAGTTATCATCCGATCTGTATGAAATTTATATGCATTATTTGAATTAGTTAAACGAAGAAGCCTATTAAATTTCATTTAAAGTTATCATCATTCGATCTGTATGAAATTTATATGCGTCATTTAAATTAGTAAAAAGAAAAATTCTATTGATCAGCAATTTCCGTTTATTACATCTAGAGTTATGGCTCTAGTTTCACTTTGTTGAACCTTGTGAATGCTCAAGCGCCAAATGTCATCATCAGATCTTTGTGAAATTTATATGCATTATTTAAATTAGTGAAACCAAGAAGCGTACCTGATAACATTCACTGATGGGTACCATATGGGTACCATGTGTCATGTATATGGGGCCATTATGGGGAGCCCATATGGGACCCCAACATTTTTGCACCCAACATTCATATGGGATCCATATGGGCAACCATATGGGTACTAAATGGGGTTTGTGTGGGATCTATATGGGTAAGTCATTTAAAATAATATGGGTGTTATATGGGGCTTACATGGGACCTGTATAGCAATGTTAAGAAATGTAATATGGGTACTATATGAGACTCATGTGGGGTGCAAATAAATGTAATATGGGGCTTGCATGGGACCCATATGGCCATGTTAAGAAATGCCATATGGTTACTATCTGGTACTCATACGGGGTGCAAATAAATGTAATATGGGCATAATATGGGACTCATATGGGATCTTGTACCAAATAAGTACAAAACTATTTATATTTGGTTTCATGTTTTATTATTATGCTTTCTCAGTTAGGACGATTGAAATTCGTTGAGATCTCCCATCATCCCGTCCCTTGAATTTGTCAGGAAACCAGTTCAAACGACTAACTGCAGCTTTGATTTCCTTGTTTGTGGTGTTTCAAAACATTGGATTTCTTCTGACTGGATCTGTAATTCAAAAGGAAAGCACATTAGGTCTGTTGATGTGCAACCTGACAAAGCAACACAACTCTTTCCATATGATTTCTTCTTAGACCACAAAACACATACAATTCAAATCTAAATTGCACCTGAAATATGCAGAGGGTTCAAAAAGACTTTTGATGAACGATTGTAAAAACATTAAAATAAACCCCATCGTACCAGAACTATTATTGATTTGCATTTAATTCCAACAATGACGTATCATCAATATTACTTATTAAAAACAATGGTAGCTGTAGCCCCTAATTCACGCTTGCCTTTTTATCCTGTCCAATTGTAACGCCGTTGTACATATGTGACACTGAGATTCTTCATGATGTTGTTAACGATGGACAGGATATCTCTGCCACCTAATCGTCCAAGTCGATTTATCTTGAACAGAACGAAAAAACGGAAAAATAAGTAAGTGCACTATATATTACATATCGAACGAAACTATTCTTCCATAAATTCACATTTATTTTAATGCGAGTTGTCATGTCTTAAAACATGCACACCCAAGCAGCTTCATCATCCTGATCATTAATATAAATGGTTACAGTTTTTTGTGAAAAAAGGGCACCAGACAAAAGCATTTATCTGTCAGTGTTGTTCTAACATACCTATATCAAGAAATTTGACTCGTAACTTTTTTGTTTTGGAGGGGGGGGGGGCATAATATAGAGTCCATACTAATATATATGACTGTCGTTTGTTTGTCATTCTGTTTAAGGTTGGTAGTTACACCAAGGCTGTCATCGAGGCTGCATATTTTGTGTATAGGGGTGGCACCAAACTAGAGTTTTACCAAATTCAGTTATAATGTCCTTTGTATGTATTTCGTTGTATAGCTGATAAAACTTTCCGACGTTTTGTCCAGCGAGAGCAAGAAACATATTTTGCCATGATACACATTAATGCGTGTTATAAGTTGAAAATGTAAATAGTCACCTTTCTTGAAATGACATCTTTCTTGTATCAGAGTTTGCCAATATTTTCAAAATAACTGAAAAAAAGAAACATCCATTCAAATCCATCCTGATATTATTACAAAACATTTATATTTATATAAGTACTTTGATGCAATATACATATATTATCAAGTCAGTTAAGTAACAGATATAGCCTTTATAGGTCAAAACAAACATTTTCAAAATATAGAAACTTTAAAAACTTTCATTTCAATTTATTTTGTAGAAAAGTTGAGTGATACTCCAAAAACCATCAAGCATATTACGTAGTATAGGAAGGATGGGACAAATTTACCTTTGATTAAATTTTGTAAAGTGATTGCAGAGATGTGTACCACTTTGGTCTGTTTCTTGTTAGTACTAACTTCTAGCTGCTATACACATATACTTCTGCATTTCAGAATCTAAAATTAAGCCAATGACCAATTTAACAGACTAAATTGGTTGTTAAGGATGACGCGTTGCGTTGACAGGTATTCACGGTTGACTTGATGAACTCTGCTGTATGGTCAGATATTATATAATTTGAGTACAGAATCTGCTATAGTCATTAAAATCTCAATAGCAAGATACACCAGCCAGGCTGTATTCATAATAAATTTTAGTAGAAACCGGTCCTGATTTCTTTGACTTTTTTCTTTAAAGAAAAATGTATTACGATTCTTTTGCTTTAAAGCTCTACAGAGACGGGCATTTATTTTGAATGGTAGAGTGAAGTTCATATTTCTTAAAATAAAAATATGTATCACAATTTCATTCATAAACAAACTCTATTTTTTATTCATGGTAAACTTATTATAGTCTGTGATAAGGAGAATTCTGTTGTAATCTGTTTAATCTCTGCAAAGTATATTAGTTCACCACTTAATTCTATAGTAAGCTAAAATATTAATAAAAGATCTCCAAATTGTTTGGATTTTAATTTTATTCAAAATATAAAACAAATTTCAGTACGCAGTAGAATAAATCATCTACCTATGGAGTACCTATTTATATTGCGCATAAAGGCTTTAGCAGCTTTGCAAGTATGGCTTCATAATATTATATACTTTTTGAAAATTAATTTAATCTTAAGTTATATTTTTCTGATTTGTTATTACTGTATTGGTTTTAGAAGTGCAAAAGTGTTTTTTTTTAAATGCTGTTTATTTTGAGTTTGATATGTTGGTGATGAATTTGTTCACCTATAATTTGCATAGTCGCATCACCATGAATATAACCAGTTACGATTTCAACAATTTAACGCATTTTTTGTTTTTAATTTATTGATAATGGCCGACATCGTGATCAGCATGTATACATACATTATGGAAGATTAAATAAAGAGCTGACAATTCTAGATATAATAGATAAAAAATGGATTATAATGTAAATGGGAAATGTCGAAAATTTCAGTGAAATTGCTTCAATCTGATTCATATACACAGTAGCCTCGATTGTCATTTTTACCGCTGTTACGATAATAAAAAGAAGACTTGATTATCCATTTATCAAGGGCGTTGGACAGAAAATCGGATACAAATCTATTGAAAATCGGACCCATAAGATGCCATCGAGGGCATTAATTGATTATGGTCTTTTTAATAAATGTCTAATAGTTTATATAACATTTCAGACCTAAAGAAAGACCTGCAATAGTCAGATTTAGCTCTTGCATAATGTTTATGTTTAATTAAGCAAAAAAATAAAATTTTAATGAAGGAGAAATGGGAAATTGAAAGTAGATCAATAAAGAAATTGCAAAAAGACCTTACCTGTAAAAATGCTTATGCTCTTTAACAAATCTGTGTAGTTGTAACATGGTTTAATGTAAATCGCACCTGTATGTGCGACTGTTTACTTGTCATGTAAATACAAGTGTTGAGGGCGCAATAAGTTTAACGTATCCCAAATAAACACTTTAATGATATTCTGATTTTAATTTTCTGAATACTTATTAATATCTACTAAATGCAATGGGTATGATTCCACATTGAAGCCGATACAGGTGTGGCTAATCCCATATGGGTAAAATATTGGACCCAGATTATTTTATATGTGGTAGATGCCATATACATAAGATATTGGCCCCAGATACACATGTGGGTAATCCCATATTGAACCCATATACATAATATACATGAATGTGGTTATATCATATCCGTACCAGACAGGCTTCTGGTGCACATATGCGTAATCCTTTCTGTACAGATTGGTTCACAAAACTAAAAGTATGGATTCAATAATGAACTTATACATACAAATAAGTAATCCCATATGGATACCATATTGGCCCCAGATATACAAAAGTTATATGTAATCCCATACAGATACCATATTATCCCCAGATACACACATGGGTAATCCCATATGGACACCATATTGGCCCCATGTTTACAAAACAGAGTTGTTAATGTGGGTAATCCCATATAGACCCCATATTGGCCCAAGATACACACACTATAAGGTCAGATTATCAATGTAAGAAAGAAGTAAGCATTATATCATTTGGCTTATCTCTGTGATATTAATATATGCACAACTAAAAGTATGGATTCAATAATGAACTTATACATAGACTAATAAGTAATCCCATATAGATACCATGTTGGCCCCAGATATACAAAAGTTATATGTAATCCCATACAGATACCATATTATCCCCAGATACACACACGGGTAATCCCATATGGACACCATATTGGCCCCATCTATACAAAACACAGTTGTTAATGTGGGAAATCCCATATAGATCCCATATTGGCCCCAGATACACACACTATACGGTCAGATTATCAATGTAAAAAAGAAGTAACCATTATATCATTTGGCTTATCTCTCTGATATTAATATATACACAACTAAAAGTATGGATTCAATAATGAACTCATACATAGACTAATAATAATCTCATATAGATACCATGTTGGCCCCAGATATGCAAAAGTTATATGTAATCCCATACAGATACCATATTATCCCCAGATACACACACGGGTAATCCCATATGGACACCATACTGGCCCCAAGTGTACAAAAACAGAGTTGTTAATGTGGGAAATCCCATATAGATCCCATATTGGCCCCAGATACATACACTATACGGTCAGATTATCAATGTAAAAAAGAAGTAACCATTATATCATTTGGCTTGTCTCTGTGATATTAATATATATATGAAAATAAAGTGTATTTGCGTACATTTGTATGTGGTAAGATAATATGGGTCCTATATGGGGACCTTGTGGTATCGCCTGGGCCCACAGCCCATTTTTCCCCCATATGGTTCCCATGTGGCAATGTTTATGGGGTAAATTTCAGCAATTTCCGTTTATTACATCTAGAGTTATGGCCTTGTTTCACTCTGTTGAACCATGTGAACGCTCTAATGCCAAGAGTTATCATCTGATCTGTATGAAATTTATATGCATCATTTAGATGCCTATTTAATTTCATCAATTTACAATAATTACTTCTATAGTTATGGCCCTTGTTTCACTTTGGTCAACCTTCTTATGCTTGATCGATGAAAGTTATCATCCGATATGTATGAAATTTATATGCATCATTTAAATTTGTAAAAAAGAGGCCTATTGAATTTCAGCAATTTCCGTCAATTATTTCTAGAGTTATGGCCCTTGTTTTACTGAAAATTATAATCTGATCAGTATGAAATTGTCTTGTAAATGGCCCAATTACCTACAAAATAATAAATATGCGACAACCCTTGTCGACCGCTCGGACGATTTAGCTGCTGTGGGCGTATGTTTCATTGTCTGACAACCTATCTTTTTTCCAGTTAACAAAGTCTTATCCCCAATCTTTTGGACATAGTTCTAGATACTCTTATTTCTCAACTGTCAAACTCTGGAAATTTAGTGTTTGAATGAAATGTTTAATGTTAATGTTATTATGATATATAGCGATCTGAAAATAACCCAATGTTTGTTGACCTTTTGAAGAAGACCACATTTAGAATGACCTTAAAGAATTTCTATTCATGACAAGAAAAGACATGTCTCTGGGAAATAGGATACATTATTAAAAACTAAAATAAAAGTAAATTCCATACATAACTAATCATTCCTGGTACTGAAATAATTTAAAGAAGTTAATTTTAAACCTCTTTGATTTGGGTAAAAATTATGATCGTATGCATTATTCAGTTAATGATAGGCCAAACTCTATATACAATTAAATTTTATTTTCATGTGGACATATATTGTCATCGCCCCCTGTCCGTCCATCCACAATGTGTTTGTGGACAGTCTACAGGCCACAATTTTTATATGCCCACATTTTCATGTGGACGTATAATTGTCGTCGCCCTTGTCCGTCTGAATGTCCGTCCACAATTGTTGTTATTTATACACTCTAAAGGTCACAATTTTTATCCGATTTCAACGAAACTTGAAATATAGGTTTATCTCCCTAAGATCTCGGACTGTAACTTCATTGATTATGGCCCCTGATTGTACGAAAAATAACTTTTTTAGCTTGTGGACCCTATAGAGGTCACAATTTTTATACTCCTACATTGAAATGTGGTTGTATATTGCCATCGCCCCCGTCTGTCCGGAGTCCACAATTGCTTGTGGACGCTCCAGATGCTAAAGTTGATATCCGATTGACTTTAAATTTATACACAGTGTTTAAAGACCACATAAGATGGCCAATTTTTTTTTTTCTACGTGTAGCCAATGATTACTACATCCATTTTACGGCAAGTTCACACCAATCTGATTAAAATTAATTAGAGTCAGATAAATACGGCTCAAACATATATGGTGCTATAGTAATCATTTCTCGCGATGTATCTGTATCCGATACACTGCCCGAGCTAAAAGAACTACTGCTACAGGATAACTCTAAATATTCTGCCTCCATTCTCTCGGTGAATGATAAAATGACCAATAACACAAATGTTGATGATCTAAGTTTATATGATTACTACTTGAAACCATTTCGTTTCTTATAAGCCGGCTACAATTTTACACCAATCTTGTTTCAATCAGAAGCCAATTATTGTTGGTTTACCGTCGGCTTATTCTGATTAAAAAGAGAATATGACTACAGCAACTAGCTTTATAAAACAAATTCTAAATTACAAAACAAATTATTCCGCAGTCAGTTGTTTTATTTAATTAGGGGATTAAGGAATCAGACATGCGTTACTGAATACTAAGGGTATGACGACTAAGCAAAACTTGAACCGGTTAGTCGGCGGCTAAAAAACCGAACCGATTCGGTTTAGTCGGTAATGAAAACTAACTGAAAAATATTAGTCTTCCATAGTCTAGAATATACGCTAATATACTGGCCTTTATTAGTTTATATACGGAGCTTAAAACTGTAATGGCGACATACATACAGTTCTATGTTTTATGTGTCCAGTACATTAAAAAAATTGGTTTTGTTTGTACTATGTAGTTTGTTCAAATCTCCTGTTTAACCTTTTTAATAAAAGTAATAAATACAACATATAAAAAACTTCAAACAATGACGTATTGATCAATATTAGTGATAAACCGACGAGAAAGCGTATCTGGGCATCAGCTCAGTGCGCATGCCTATTGACCTAACCTGGAGGATTGCTTGTTTCTGATTGGGCACTTCAACCATTGACCTTAGCGACGGACCAATCAAATAACGTATTCTTAAAATAACTTCATTAGGTATGCAAAAACACACTTGCTTGTAATCGCGAGAATATCCACGACCGATTACTGAATATAGTATATCCTGTCTCGTTATTATTATTGTCGACCATTTATCAATGATGTAGCTTATTCGCCCCCATAATTGTCGATCATTAATACATGTATCTTTTTAAAAAAAAAACGTTATAATATTCGGGCGACTGGTTTATATCATGCTGTATTTTTTAGACGACTATCGATTTCCCGAAACTTGAACCGGTTTGTAGGTAAAACCGAACCGACTCCAACTAAACCGACTAATCTTCACACCCTTACTGAATACACACACTGGCTGTATATAGGTAATTAAGGAATAAACATTCTGAATATGCATTCGGTCACTGTGACGTCACTGGCATCGGAGGGGATTAAGAGTGTTTTCGATAATTGGCCAAGTCGTTTTTACGGGAGGTCTATTTTTGCGACTTTGAGTGCAGATAGCTGAATTAATTTCAAACAGATTGGTGTGAACTTGCCCTAAAGTGGATATAATAACCATTGGCTATACTAACTCAAAGTTTTCGGACCCATCTTATGTGCACTTTAAGGTCATGAGGCGAAGAAACCTATTGATTTTCGATAATTACTGCCAGAGTTACAAATGTATGGCCCTTGCTTGATCACTTCAAAAAATCTTGTGGATGCTGTAGAGGCTAAAGTTAATATCGAATTGACTTTAAATTTATGCACAGTGTTTAATGTCATGTGACGAAGAAGTCTATTGATTTTCAGATGGGCTTCTGATATCCAATATTCAAGACAATAAACATTTTACCATTGGTACACGAATCGTGTACCATAATGCGTTTCAGCGCCATTTGGAACAAGGGACTCAAAGAACGCGGCTAGACATATTCCACAAGTCAAGTCAAAAGGTGATGCTATATTCTTATCTGGAGAGCATGCGCAGTAAATATCATCGGTGTAGATTGGAATAACCAGACGCTAAATATTGCAATTCAATTGAGACTTCTGGCGTATTTTGCCGAACATAACTGATAAGAAATTACAGTAGAAACATAAACGGTTGGATGTAAATCAGTTTATATATTCACATTACATTATTAAATGCATTGCAACCCATTTGTGTCAATTTCTAGGTCCCAAATATTAGCGATTTAGCTCCTTTAATATCAGATTGACTGTAGATTTATACACAGTGTTTAAGTGACTGTAGATTTATACACAGTGTTTAAGGTCCTGAGATGAAGAATCCTATTGATTTTCAGCGATTTCGGATAATTACTGCCAGAGTTATGGCCCTTGATCACTTTAAAAAATCTTGTGGACGCTCTAGAGGCTAAAGTTAATATTCGATTGACTTTAAATATATACACATCAAATATATTGATTTTCAGCGATTTCCGATAATTACTGCCAGAGTTATGGCCCCTGATCACCTTGAAACATCTTGTGAAAGCTCTAGAGGCCCAAGTTAATACCCGATTTACTTTAAATTTATGCACAGTGCTTGAGGTCATGAGACGAAGAAGTCTATTGATTTAAAGCATTCATAAAAACAGTCTTAAAGTTCAAGGCGAAATGCACAGAAGATATTTCTTATTGTCCAGTATTCTTACTAAGTAAAATTTTCTTTTTCTTTTTCAAGGGTGATTTCGACCAACATGGCAGACGTTACAGATTACGAACACCTAAGTTGATTTATGTGATAGTTGCCATTTTGGTAATCGGAGTCATTCTTACACTGTTGAATATTTATGAATTACACAAGATGAAAGAAGATCATTCAATGCATCATTCGTGGGTTAGTGAGCCAGAAATAGAGGGTAAAACGGGAAACAATGCTAAGAAAATGTCTGTTTTGTGGGTAACCGGTAAAAAGGTATGACTTTTCAGTTGGTTTTTATTATACGCCCACATTTTCATGTTGAAGTATATTGTCGTAGCCCCAGTCCGTCCGTCCGTCCACAATTGTTTGTGGCCACTCTACAGGTCACAATTCTTATCCAATTATCCAATCTTGAAATATTGGTTTATCTTCAAAAGAGATCTCGGTTGTTTTTGATATTGGCATGTATCGGATGGAAACTTCATGGATTATGGCCCCTGATTGTACGCAAAATCACGTTTTTAGCTTGTGGACCCTATAGAGGTCATAATTTTTAACATTTAAAAAAAACGTTTTAGTATATCCCTGTTACACCCTAAGGATGGCTGAGAACGGATTTCGTGAAAATCGGACCAAAACTGACTGACAAAATGGACGCCCATCGTTCTCAAGTAGCGTAAAAATATGGTATATCAAGGTTGTGGACCCTATAGAGGTCACAATTTTTATCCGATTTTGTTGAAACTTGAAATGTAAGTTTATAACCCAACGATCTCAGTTCCTTTAGATATTCGCACATATCGGACCGTAACTTCCTGAATTATGGCCCCTGATTGTACGAAAAATCACGTTTGTAGCTTGTGGACCCTATAGAGGTCATAATTTTTATCCGATTTAAAAAAAAACGTTTTAGTATTTCACCGTTACACCCTGAGGATGGCTGTGTTCGAATTTCGTGAAAATCGGACCAAAACTGACTGACAAAATATCTGCCCATCGTTCTCAAATAGCGTAAAAATATGGTATATCAAGGTTGTGGACCCTATAGAGGTCACAATTTTTATCTGATTTTGTTGAAACATGAAATGTAAGTTTATATCTCAGTTCCTTTCGATATTCGCGCATATCGGACCGTAACTTCCTGAATTATGGCCCCTGATTGTACAAAAAATCACATTTTTAGCTTGTGGACCCTATAGGGGTCATAATTCTTATCCGATTTAAAAAAAACCGTTTGAATATGTCACCGTTATACCCTAAGGATGGTTGAGTTCAAATTTCGTAATAATCAAACCAAAACTGACAGACAAAATGGCCACGCCTCGTAGTCAAATAGCATAATAATATGGTATGTCAAGGTTGTGGTGGACCTTATAGAGGTCACAATTTTTATCCGATTTTGTTGAAACTTGAAATGTAAGTTTATAACCCAACGATCTCAGTTCCTTTAGATATTCGCGCTTATCAGACTATAACTTCCTGAATTATGGCCCCTGATTGTACGAAAAATCACGTTTTTAGCTTGTGGACCCTATAGAGGTTATCCGATTTAAAAAAACGTTGCAATATATCCCTGTTATACCCTAAGGTTGGTTGAGTTCGACTTTCGTGAAAATCGGCCCAAGACTGACAGACAAAATGGCCGCCCCTCGTTCTCGAATAGCGTAAAAATATGGTATATCAAGGTTGTGGACCCTCTAGAGGTCACAATTTCCTTCTGATTTTGATAGAACTTGAAATGTAAGTTTATAACCCAAAGATCTGGGTTTCTTGCATATCGAATCGTAACTTCCTGAATTATGGCCCCTGATTGTACGCAAAATCGTGTTTTTAGCTTGTAGACCCTATAGCGGTCTTAATTCTTATCCGATTTTAAAAAAACGTTTGAATATATCACCATTATACCCTAAGGATGGTTGAGTTCGAATTTCGTGGAAATCGGACCTAAACTGACGGACGAAATGGATGCCTTTTGCACGCAAATAGTGTAAATATATGGTATATCAAGGTTGTGGATCCACAATTTTTATCTGATTTTGATGAAACTTTAAATACATTTTTATAACCCAAAGATCTTGGTTCCTTTCGATATTCGCGCATATTATATCGTAACTTCCGGAATTATGGCCCTTGATTCTACGAAAAGTCACGTTTTTAGGATGTGATCCCTATAGATGTCACAATTTTTATCCGATTTAAAAAAAGGTTTGAATATATCACTGTTACACCCTTATGATGGTTGAGTCTGAATTTCGTACAAATCGGACCAAAACTGCCGGACAAAATGGCTGCCCCTCGTACGCAAATATTGTAAATATATGGTATATCAAGGTTTTGGACCCTCTAGAGAGAGGACACAATTTTGATCCGATTTTGATGAAACTTGAAATACATATTTATAACCCAAAGATCATGGTTCCTTTCAATATTCATGCATATCAAATTGTAACTTCCTGAATTATGGCCCTTGATTGTACGAAAAATCACTTCTTTTTTTGAGCTTGTTCTCTGTCCATCTCTTGCAAAGTGTGGGCGTATATTGCATGGCAACCGCTTGTTCTTTCTCAATTTTATGTCTAATGCCAATTCTGACTAGCTAGTTCAAACCAATTTAACATTTTCACTGTCACTGGAAATGACATCATTTAGACAAAAACTGTATTTTTAGTCTTCAAAACAGATATTTTATTCAAATGAGTCTCATTTGTAATGTTTTTAAAATTATGATATTTGTTCAAATCAAGAAATAAAATAAACCCATGGTTTCTAACTTGTATGGTTGCATCATTACCCGTCATTACTGCATCGCAGTTCTTGTTAACGATTTGTTTTTCAAATTTTTAGATTTCGACGCGCTCACAATTAAGCAGATTTAACAGTAAAAACAAATTCACAAATTACTACGGCTTATTATGAAAATCGTTTCAAATAAAGCGACCAAAATAACAAAAGAAATTACAAAGTTGTTTTAGGGAGGCCAGCTCCCAAGAGTGGACACCAGAGTGATTTCCAAAGATGATTGCATGTTTTTATAAATAGAACAAGGTTGGTGACATATGGATTTATGCATGCAACGGATGTGATATAAAGTCTGAAATATATGACATGGGGGTTGAATCATTTTTTTGATCAGGAATATTATATGACTTCGACTTCCATTTTTGGGGGGGACTGAGAGTTAGATTTCTTTACATTTGACTAATTGTCCAAGAAGGGTACCCTAGTTTCTGAAGGAAGAGAACCAAACATACCCTAATGCGAACATATTGAGAAGACATGTAAATCGGCAAAGAGCAGTTTCTTGTGAAAATATGACTACAACAATACAATAACTTAATGGCTGGGACAATTTTTCGTTTCAGAAACCATATATGTATACATGTCTACATTTAATAAAATACCAAGCTTTATTTAAATGAGGTGCTAAAAAAGGGAAATAGACATTTATGTCATTATAAGACCAACATTGAACAGACCACAGTTTTCATCCACATTACAAAATCATCCCCGAATAACCTGTCGCCTCTGTCTACCAACAAAAACAGTTTTCGCGAGTAAAGCATGCACCACGCTGCCGATAGTATAAATTACATAATGAAAGTTGGATTCACTCGACCCAGTAGTTTATTAGTACCGGGAGAAAAATAACAAAGCTATTCATACAATCGTAAACAATGTCAATATTAACACGTGTTTAAATTTAGCTGTTCTTATAAAGCCCCTATTTCCATATTAAGTCAAAGCTTGCTATTTTGCATGCGAAGTCAACATTGTTATACAATGTTTGGTCGAATCACAAGATGTTAAGACAAACGGCTAAATGAACACGTGTAAAAGATATTAGTGGACGTCGGTCTTTTGCATGCGAAGACAAGCTGGTTACACAATCGGCCCTGGTCCCTATTTGCATTAGTGTTATTTGATATGTGAATTATCAGTTGTCATATATGTGGGAATTACTTTTAGCTTGGATAGTCCTATTTACAACCCAGGTAATAATCAATCATTTATAAATTAAAACGCCCACATGTAATAAAAAATATATCAGTGACAAAACTAATAGGTTTTCATTAATTAGGCAATTTTATATTTATAAATTTGCTTTCGCAATAGATTCGTTAATCTGATTGAGGTTGGTTCGGATATTGGTAAATAACGATGCTGTGTGCGATCAATTTTAAGATATGTCCAGTTATAGTTCAGTGGTACGCACGATAATATGTAAACAATTAAACCCACAAAAAAGACAAATATATAAATAACTACAGCCAGACTACTTTAAAATGTAACTACAGCACATATAAATCCATGTATAAAGACCTACACTTAACAAAGACCGATCTGCATAAAACAAGTGGTCGAACAAGAAATCGCACGGTAAATTTGATTTAACACCTTTGCTGCAGTTATAACACGCTTTCGAGAAAACTCACCAAACAAAGAATACACACTGTGTCAGTCGTTTTTTAACCCGTCCATTAATTAACACACACAGTACAGTAAACGCACCTCTAGCGATAATTGAATCACCTTTCACTACTTTCAGTCAATTTCTCACCCCTGTATCTGTATCTACAGATTTTAGCCATGCAGTATTAGATTTGTTGCAATAATTAGAATTTTACCAATATTTGCAGAAATTTACTAAATAAGGGAGAAAACTATGCCCTATTTGCACAAATATCACCTTTCATACTTCTCGGTGATATATTCTCTCTCTGTACCATTGTATTAATCAAAGCATTTTCTTCAGTTTTCATACTCAATCTGATTTGACTTTATATCAAATCTGTAAAGAAATTCATAATTATCGTTCGAATTTTGAAAATACGTTGCTTACGAGACAATTTTTGTTATTTTTCAAAATTTTCAAATTTGACCTACATTTTTGGATACCTGAAGACCATCCGATTCCAGAAATATAAGTTTCATTCTGAGTTATCGCCCTTTATTTTTCGATTTTTGTTTCGAATTTTCTGCCCATTTCCCAACCCTTATATTTTTTGGAAAGGATAAATCGATATTTCTGAAAGTCCTGGAACATAAAGCTATATAGTCAGACCGCTGCATAAAGCAATTTCAACAACGATCAGGGCCATTTTATCTGATCAGATAATGTAATATATCATTACAGAGCACTGTGGCTATCTAATTGCCCAAATTGGTTATTAAAACTATCCCGACAATAATCTCCATACCGGAAGTATGCAAAAAATGAAAAAAAAAAGGTTTAAAAAATAGCGCTCTTGTGAAAAACTTGATTTCTCCATCAG